ACCAAAGGAGTGTCGTTGGTTCCAGAAGGTGTTTTGTTTGTTCTTGCTGCATTTTTTATTTGTTTTCTATACCCTTTTGAGAAGCATGGAGGGACACAGAGTTGAATATAATCCCGGGAATGAAATGGGACCTATGAGAGGAGGTGCTGGAGACCCCTTCGGAGCTGAGACCATTACCACAGTTAGGTTGGATGGTACAAATTACTTGGGGCTCGTGGAAAATTGGGGTATATTACTGGTGAAGAGGTGAAACCTGAAACTGACAACTCCTGGTGGGTGCAGGAAAATTATATAGTAATGACATGGTTTTGTAATTCCATGTTGCCACATATAAGTAAAAATTTTTTATGGGCAAATACTGCTAAGGAGATATGGGATGGGGTTGTAGAAACCTATTCACAAAGGGAGAATGTTGCTAGGGCTTATCAACTGAGAAATTAGATTATTGTTACAAGGCAGGGAGATAGATCTGTTGCAGCCTATTTTTCAGTCCTTAAGACCCTGTGGCAGGGGAGCGACCATCTAGAGACTTTTGCTTGGGAAACCACCAAAGATGCAACTACCTATCAAAGACACTTAGAGAAGTATAGGGTGTTCGAATTCCTTGCTGGCCTTAACCCTGAGTATGACATTGCACGACAACATCTTCTTTCCAGGGACAATGTCACTCTCTCCCAAGCATATGCCTTTGTGTCAGGAGAGGAGTGCATGAGGGATGTAATGATGAAAAATCTCATTTCTGATCAATCCGCTATGGTAAGTGCTGTGAAATCTAAACAAAATGACAATGAAAACAAGAAGGAAGACAAAAGGGACTTGGTCTGTGTCTACTGTAAGAAGCCTAAGCATACAAGAGATACTTGTTGGAAGCTTCACCCACATCTTGTGCTGACCAGATTGAAGAATAAGAAAGGAAATGCGCACATGGCAGTTACTGGTGACACTCCGGCCCCCCTACTACAATTGCTTTGGAGTCCGTTGTAGCTGCTACAGTAAGGGCCGAGCTTGAGAGGTTTGGGTTACTTCTGAATCAGAGGGATATAGTTAGTTCCAGTTCAGCCGCAAGCGGACAACAAAGTACAGGTAGCATAGGTGGAGCTCACTCTACCTCCTTTGCCCACACAGGTAGTTCACATGTCACTGCAAACTATGTTTCTGCTTCAGGTAAGGAGAGATCTCCTTGGATTATAGACTYTGGAGCCTCAGAGCRCRTRACCCATTGCTCCACTATTTTCTCCTCTTACCAGCTCTGTTCTGGTAGAGATAGGGTCTCCACAATTGATGGATCCCAGAGCACATGACCCTTTGTCCTCCATGTGCCTAGATTGAGCACCAATTTATTATCTGTTAGTAATTTGACTAAGAATTTGAACTGCTCAGTAATTTTTTCTCCTGGACGTTGTATTTTGCAGGATCAGGATTCAAAGAGGACAATTGGGAGTGGTCATGAAGTGAATGGAATCTACCTCCTGGATGCTCTTCCTCTTCACCAAAGTCATCATGTTTGTAGGGACAGTGAGTCAAAATCTGTGGATCAGATTATACTTTTGCATAATCGTTTGGGTCATTTGTCTTTTTCTTCCTTGAGTTCTTTGTTTCCAAAACTGTTTGAGTCTGTGAGTTTGTCAAGTTTGAAGTGTGAAGGTTATGAACTTGGAAAGCATTGTAGATACTCTTTTAAACCTAATAATAAAAGATGTTCTTCTCCTTTTGATGTTATTCATTCAGATGTGTGGGGCCCTTATCATGTTCCCTCTATGGGCRGYTATCGCYATTTTCTCCTGTTTGTGGATGATTTCTCTCGATATTCCTGGATTTACCTAATGAAATCTCGCGATGAAGTACCATCCTTGGTGAGGCAATTCCACCAGATAGTACTAACACAGTTTGGAACGAGAATAAGGATGTTCAGATCTAACAATGCTAGGGAATATTTTGAGAGACATCTTGCCTCATATTTTTTGGAGTATGGTGTTGTCCATCAGAGTAGTTGCTTCTACAGTCCACAACAGAATGGTGTTGCAGAGAGGAAGAACAGACACATTGTTGAGACGGCAAGAAGCATGATGATCACAACTACAGTTTCGGTTCGTTTTTGGGGTGATGCTGTTCTCACGGTAGTACATCTGATTAACAGGGTGCCTTCTCGTATACTTGGATTCAACATTCCATTCAGCCTTCTTTTTCCTCAAGGGGAGATGTTTCATATTCCTCTAAGGGTGTTTGGGTGTGTCTGCTTTGCGCATATCCTTGGTCCTTACCGTTCGAAGCTTGATCCCAAGGCAAAGAAATGTGTTTTCCTTGGATATGCAGAGAATTAGAAAGGGTACCGCTGCTATGGTCCAGTCTCTGGGAACCGGTTTGTTACTATGGACATTACCTTTTTTGAATCTACGTACTTTTTCGCAAGGAATCCTTCTCGGGGGGAGTGTTTTGGGGAAGTAAGTCAGCAGTCTATCCCTCTCCCATTTCCAGTCCCTGTGTCTACTCCTGTGCTTGACCACCACCCGATGTCACCTACCTTGCCACCTCCTTTGCGTTCCRTTTCACAGCATTACTCATGACAAAGACTTCATAAGGCGGTTGATTCCACTACAGCAGAACTCACACCACTTCCTGTCGATCCCTTGGAGACTCCAGATTCGGCTGATACGGATTCAGGTATTCCTCTTGATCCCACTACTATTTCTGTTCCCATTGGTCCTACTAACACTGTTACAGATAACCTTGATCTCCCTATTGCTCTTAGAAAAGGGAAGAGAAAGTGCACTGCTCATTGTATTTCACAGTACTTATCCTATAGTGGACTTTCTCCTTTCTACCGTGCTTTTCTCTCTTCTCTTGATTCAGTGTCTATACCCA